TACGCGGGTCATGGCACAGATCGAGGTGGATCTGGTGAAGATGCACCAGCTGGACATGAGGGGCACGGACCGCTACGTGGGCAGAGGCGAGCCGCCCCGCTACCAGTGGGGATCTCCCTGCCTGGATGGGGGGCGGGCACGCGCAGCGTGGCGTGCTGAGGCCCAAGGCGTGCGCAAAGGCGAGGCATCTGCTGGCGGTGGAGGGCCAGGTTGAACACGGTGCTGGAGGTGCCGCAGCACCTCAGCACGGAGTGGATCGAGGAGGCGCGCTGGGAGGAGGAGCCCCTCGGCGCGGAGTTCGCCCACGAGCGCCGCCGGGACTTCTGCGAGTGGGTTCGCTCTTCACTTAGGCTTGGGGGCAAACAGGTCCACTCGTTCAGGGGTGGGCGCAGGGGCTGGACTCTAGATGAAGTGTGGGCACAGCGCAGCCCCGGCGGAGGACAGGAGAGCGGATGCCGTCGCGGCTTTCTGGGCAGGCGAGGTCTGGCAGCGTGTGGGGAGTCCAGAGTCTGCGAGTCTGGATCCGCGAAGGCGCAAAGCACCTGGTCCAGCCGGAGCGAGGCCGCAACCAACAAGACCTCCGATCGAGGAGATGCCCACGGCGGAGAAGACGAGGATGGCAGCGAAGACATGCGGCTCAGCTGTGGGCCACGGCGCCGGCCGTTTCAACCCGAGGCAGCTCGAGCACAGTTCGACGAGCTGATGGTGGTGCTGGCCTCGGTCGGTATGGCGACGGGGGCGGTGGACACAGTGCCTGAGTGCGCCGTCAGCACCCCGATCGTCATGCGTGGTTTCCCAGATGGTGAGCGCGCGTGACGAGGCGCGAGGCCAGACGGTGGGGGGCGGAGATCCCCGACGGGGTGGCCGCCAACTTCGGGTTGGGACACATGTCGAGCTGCAGCAGGAGACAGTGTGGTGGCAGGCCTTACACAACGAGGCGAGTAGAGCGCAGCATCTGGACGTCGGCTGGGTGCCCCTGGCCCCCGGGACGTCGGCGAGGTGGTCTCTCTCCCGCGGCGCAGCAGAGGGCGGGCCACCCCGAGCAGCTCATCCAGGCGGCCTTCTGCGCGCGCGGGGGGGGCCATGGCACGGTGTGATCGATGGGGTCGTCAGCTCTTCGCCCACGAGCTGGCGGGTGGGCTCATTGCAGAATGCAGCCACCAGCCACGCAAAAGTGGAGTCTCACATGTGCCGTGGTGGTGCTGGAGGCGGGGCACAGGCGCTGCTGGAAGGCGGTGGGCGCGGCCATCGTGTTCGACAACTTTTCGCTGCACGTGGCGGGCAGCTGCCGAGAGGTGGCACGCTGCCTCGGCCCGAGCCTCGGCGTAGAGCCGCCGGAAGCTTCATCTGTGGGGCAGGGAGCGGCACGGGCTTTATCCTCTCGCGGACCAAGTCGGAGATGTTGGCGCCATCCGACGGGCTGCGCGAGGCCCTCGTCAGGATCATGAACCTGCGCTAGATCCGGAAGTCGGACGAAGCGCGCTGCCTGGGAGTGGACTCCAGCGCCAAGACGGGAGCATCAGCTCTTGCGGAAAGGAGGCAGGCCAAAGCAGTGGAGCATGCTACTCGCATCGGCCAGGCTAGTGGAGCGCGCGCCCCCAGCGCCAGGAAGTTGGTGCAGAGTGGCTCGCTGCCTGCGACGGACTTCGGCTGTGAGGCCATGGAGTGGGCGGAGGCGAGGCTGCAGCTTGGAAGAAACCAAGTGGCACCCATGCTGCTTTGCAAGGTGTTTGGACGCAACGGGCACTCGGCTTCCTGGTCTCGGCAGCGGTGCAAGATTTGTTGACGTTGCTCGGATATGAAGATCAGATCTTGTTGCGTCCAGAAAAACAGTGCTAAGCCTCAAGGGATATAAACGCCAGCTTCGGCCTTGACATTCAGACTAAGGCAACCGCCCGTAAGGATAAGGAATAACGAACAAGCTGCGGTTACAGAGCGTGGCCCATAGGGGTGCAGAGCAACCAAGCGGCTGCCGTGGGGAGGGAGAGAAACAACCAACAGTGAATGAAACCACAACGGTGCGAGACGACCCGCTCTTCCGGCGCGTCTTCAGGTCGGTGGAGCCGCGGGCCAACGGGTTAACGCTGGCCGAGGGGCGCGAGGACGGCCGGGCGCTCCTGAGCGCGGTCCCTGGCAGGAAGGAGGTGCACGTGACCAAGGGGTCCAGGAGGCGTGTGGGGGCCGGGCCAGCAGGGGCGGTCTTGCTCGCATGCCAGCGCTCAGGATGGCAGACGGAGTCGGTCAAGCCAACCAAGGACGACGGAGACACGGAGGCGGACCTCATGAGGAGTGGGCCCCACGCGCTGATGGGATGCCGTGGAGCAGGACGTCGCGAGGGCGCTGCGGCGAGAAGCGGCGGACCATCGCGAGGAGCTCGAGATGGCGACGCGCGGGGGAGCCATGGACAGTTCGGTGCGGAGGTTCCTGTCCAGGGAGGCGTCGGCGAGGGTGGCGGCATGCAGCTCGTCGGCTGCCAGCGGCCAGTGGCGCGGCGGGCCAGGGCCAGCCCACCCCCGTCGTCGGCAAGGTGCCCATGGGACTGCGAGGGGGTGGGCACAGTCCAGGCACCCGGCTCGGCGGTGGCCCGCGCTGGGCGGTCAGGAGAGGACTCAGGACGGGGGAGTCGCCCGACTTTGCTGCGGTGCGCGAGGCGGAGGCTGCGGCCCCAGGAGGAGGCGAAGAGCACCCCGCTCGGTCGAGGGGGGCTCGTGGCGGACCGGAGGCGAGAGGCGCCCCGAGCACTCGGTGACATCACCTCCAAGAGGGCAGGCCCCTCCCGTTCCGGCCGCGCCCCTGGAACCGGCCGAGATCTTACGATGGGCCAAAAAAGCCCCAGGACAGCTCAAGATTGCCCCACCCAGACGGGCCCACACAAGACCCCCAATAAGCCCCAGAGACGCCCAAGAGCACCATGGCCCCGAAGAGTCATAGAGACGCCACTATCTCACAGTGACATAACAAGTTTTTCACGCCATAGCTCAGCGTGTCGCAGCACTCGCGCGCTTCCCCGAAACTGCGACAGGTTTGCGTCACCTCCATCTCCCAGTGTCCCACGTCCGTGGTTGTATGATCCTTGGCACGAGTGCCTCTTGTTTCATCCTTAGCAGCATCATCAGCATCACCACCACCACCTCCATCACTATCATCACCATCATCAGCATCAGCATCATCATCAGTATCATCATCATCATCAACATCATCATCAGCGTCATAATGAACAATATCATCATAATCAGCAGCCTCACCAGCATCAACATCACCATCACCATGACAATCACCATCATCGTCAGCATCGTCATCATCATACTCATCATACTAATCAGCAACATCGCCATCATGAACATCGGCATCATCAGCAGCATCCTATATCGTCTATCATCACCGTATATCATCATCAACAACATCAACATCAGCATCATCACCAGCATCATCAACATCCTCAATATCATCAGCATCACTTTCGTGTCAATGATGGTAATGCTGATGACGATGATGATGATCATCATTATTATCAACATCATTACCATCACCATCACTATTATCATCATGAGGGCCAGCATCACCATCATCACCATCACCATCACCATCATCACCATCACCATCACACTCATCCTCATCATCCTGATTCTCACCCTCCTCATCGTCATCCCAGGCAGCCTCATAATTATCATGATCCTCATCAAGGCTCTCCAAAACCTGCAAGCCCGAAATGTCGCACATGGCGGACTCGAAGAGCCGCCACCCAGAATTGTGGGCTGGCACCAAGACTTGCAGCAGACAGCTGCATACGTCCGATGCTCAATTGTTTAACTGGTGCTTCACAAATGGTGCCTCCCACTGCAGCGTGGGCCTCATTTCAGCATTGGCGCCCTGCTCTCGTCGTACGTAGCGCGCTCTCGTCTCAGCGCGAGCCCATTTCCTGGACTCAAGTCCTTCCTCATCGTTGCCTCCCCTTTCCCTTCCCCTCCTCCGCCTTCCCCTTGTCCTCCCACTCCTGCTCGTGCTACAGTCATCGTGCTTCCATAAGGAGCGCGTAATCAAGCACGAACGGGGTTTTCTGGCCACGGCGGCCCAGGCCACGAACAGGATCCACGACATAGGTCTAAAGAGCGGCCTGACAGCCCGATCCCTCCTGAGCTAGAAGCGGTCCTTGTGTCAGCGCCTTGGCTGCACTGCGGATCCTCCTCGTCCTCGTGCTGTGCTGCCGTCTTGCGGGAGGCGACGGGGTCTCCCTTGGCTCGCCGCCGAGGTCATGGCCTGCACGAGGCGGACTACCGCCAGGTCTGTGCGGCGACTGATGAAATGCGCGACGCCCTCGCCCTCCCTCAGACAACACCGAGCGCTTCCAGGCGTCCTCACGTGTGGCAGCCCGTAGGCCAAAGCACGGGCCGCCACACAAGACGATGCCGGCGGCGACGATAAGGGCGAATAGCCCAGGGACGGGCATTACACGTATTCGCCCGGGAGCCCTGTCGAAGACATAGATCTTCGGCGCCCCTGCATACATGTATTGCTCTCCCCTGGGCCATTCGCCCCTACCGTCGCCTCTGAAGATAGCATCCCTCTGGCTGCCTGCCCCACGCCTGTCCTCTGGCACACACGTTCCAAGGCCTCACGGTCTGAGAATGCTCCGCCACCCGCGGCGTCTCCACTCGCCACGGATGCGTCCCGCCGTCGCGCGACCGAAACTTAGACCCAGTCTGCCGCTGACAAGCGAGTGTGCCTGCCCAGCGTGCACGTGCACGTCGGTCGCGGAGGTCCGCAGGGCGGACGTCGACCATTTCTGGCATGCGGGAGCAAACTCCCGAAGGAAACGGGTGCTGGGCCTCTGGGCGTTCCCTGGGTCTGGCGCTTCATCCCGATACGCTGTGACAAAATGCTGAACGATAGACAAACCTGCTGCGGATGTTGCTCTGGATTTCTTGCTGGTCCGAACGTGCGTGGCCACGTCCACGACCACCGCCGAAATCGAAAACAGTCCGCGCCCATAGCTCGAGATCCTACGATTTTTGTTGCATCAAGGTGCCGCGAATGAGTGTCAACATATCTAAAGTTTCCTCCTCGCAGCGGCTATGCCACATGCCAGGGTAGACCTTGAGGGACACACTCAGCCCTGCGTCATCCAGCACTTTCCTCGAATGGTGCGCCCACTCCACTGGCACCACAGGATCCGCACCTGGGGAAACAAAAGATACCGCCAATTCCGGGACCTCTCGAGGGGTGCGTAGTGGACAGGGTTTTTGACACGAAAGAAAGCTGTGGGCACGAGGAACGAGTAGCGTTTTACGGTGTGTGTGTGTGAATATATGTATAAATATACATACAGTCGAGGCGTTGACCCAAGGAACCCTAAATAAGGAACGAGGCCTCCATTTTCCATACGTTGAACTTCGATTTCCGATCGAAAACATAAGGAAAAACGGAGGCAAGCTGTGAAACACGTAAGGAACACGGAGCCCCTCCCCAACGAAAAAGGGTTCTTTGTTCAGCGCCCCGACTGTATATGTATATCTACACGCACAGATATATGCGTGTATATGTACACATATATGTCAACCATTGCGGACCCCAAACCGCAAGTCCTAGCATACTCCGCAGCGCATTCTATGCGGTGCAATCAACGTGGTGCAATCAATCAATGTGGTGGCATTCGCCCTGCCGGGCTTGACGTTGTCAACTGCATTGTTCGCGCAATCATCGCACCCACCCACCCGCAAGATGGTTTATAAAATCCATGCGGCGGCGCTTGCGATGACTCCTTGAAGCTGGCTGGCGCGCCGCTGCGACCTGCTAGCGCGCGCAGTCTCCAGGCCATCTCAGCAATGCAAGTCGGTGACCCGGGCGGGCGCGGTATGATGGCGACGTCGACAAGGGCAGACCCGATGATGTTCGTAGCGATGCTGGTGACGACACGGACGATGAAAATGAGAACGGCAAGGCAAATGACGGCGCCGATGCTGATCACGACGATGACGATTATGTTGCCCACGCGTCGGCGATGAAGGCTGTGTGAGGACTTCGACATGCGCTCGCGGCCGATGGGCGCGACTGGCCGCATGCTCTTATTCGACCAGGATCGTGCCCCCCCCCCCCAGCGCGCGCTCAAGGGCGCTCAAACGATTTCGGCACGCGCGCGCGAAAGGCCCGCTCGAACGCATGGAATGAGCACGTTGCAGAACTTATGGTTTTCTAAAGAATTCGCACGAGCGCGCGCATTTTTCAATTTTCTTTTATAAGAGGAAAGCACGTGTTGTCTACATCATCTTTCGGGACACTCGATTTTGACATCTTTGCGACACCTGAAGTGTTAAAACCAGATTATGGCATGCACGCGCGACGACGCGCGCGTGTGCAAGTCGCCCCGCTTGTTGCTCAGGAGTCTTGTATATTCATGAATTTGGGGAAACGAGCGCGCCTATTTTTACGTGGCGCAAAGTGGCGGGGGATGCCGAACTTAGCTTGGCCAGGGCTGCGTGAAATCGTACTCCAAAAGAACGATGGGCCACAACCGTACGCAATTGCAGGCTCCAAGGAAGATCGAGAATCCAAGCCTCGGGGGGGGGGCCGGAATATCATAATTCTTTAGCCGAAAGGGGAATCCAAAGGGTGCAACGTACGTGGCGAAACCTAAGTATGCGGCTCAAGCTGTGTAGTCCAACGCATGCAGCGCAATCTACACGGTGCAATTGATTTTAACCAGCGAGCTGACGCACCCCACGCCTTTGCAAACATCGCACCCATCCACCCGTAACTTGGTTTGCTAAATCCACGCGGTGGCGATTGCGATGAATGCTTGGCCCTGGCGGGTGCATGTCTGCGGCCGCGCCAACCCTAGTACGCGCGCAGCGGCCAGCTAGTTTGGCGCCGCCAGCGCGGCCGCGGTGGCGCTGACCGCTGGGCGCGCCCCAGCGGGCACTGCAGTGCGAGTCTGCGACATGGGCGGGCGCGGTTAACGCCGACGACGGTAGACGCGACGATGGTAGTGGCGATGCTAGTGACGATGTTCGCACCGACGAAGGCGCGGTCGGTGCGGGCGCCGATGCGGATCGCGCCGGCGACGGTGACGGCGCCCTCGCGTCGGCGATGCAGGTTTTGGAAAGAGTTCGACATGCGCGCGCGGTCGACGCGCGAGTGGCCCGCGTGGTTTTTACGTGACAAAGATCGCGCCCCCCCAAGCACGCGCGCAAGGGGACGCGAATGATGTCGGCATGCGGCGCCAGAGACCTGCTCCGCAGAATTCCACGAACATGAGAAGCACGGATGGTTTACAAATACTGCGCAAGAGCGCGCGCGCAAGCGTTGTCAATATACATATATAATGTAGAATGAAAGCTGATGGTGCGAAACCATGTGCGTTTGAATGTTGTTTGGGGATTTTGCTATGCAATAGTTGCCACGCCGAAGGTTTTTTCAAGGATTCTGGCATGCGCCTGCGACGAAGCGCGCGCGTGCACTTGGCTGCATTTGCTGCAGGGGGTTCTCGCGACGGCACGCGCGGAGAGGCCTTCGAGCGATTTCGACATGCACGCGCGAAGCTAGTTCGGTAACATGTTCTGAGCAAAAAACACTGGAAACCGATGGCCATTGGTCCTCGCAAGAGCGCGCACGTCAGTTTCTTTGTTTTTGAACAGCCGCGTTGGGAAACCATGTGTTTTATGTTTTTGTTGGCGCTTCGTTTTGGAACCCTTACGAAGCCGACAGTGTTTGAAGGGTGTGCGCGCGACGACGAGCGCGCGCGCTTCGTTTCAAACTTTGTTGCGACGGGTTCTTGAAAACTGCTTTGTTTTGATCAGCAAGTGCGCGCGCATGAAAATGTTGCGCGGGTGGTGGCGGGGGGGGGGGGGGGGGGTCGAAGCCGGGTCGGCTGGGATGGTGCGCGCTCAAATTTCGGATAGACGATGAGGCAGAATCATATGTGCATTACAACACAAAAAATGCACCGATAAAGCATGGAGTAGACTCTTCCCGATTTTTAGAAAGGACTTCATGTGCACAAGCGAGTTGGAACATCCCATGCGCTTGCAGACATCCCACCCACCCACCCGCGACTTGGTTTGCAAAATCCACGCGGTGGCGATTGCGGCGCATGCTTGGCGCTGGCCGGTGCATCTCTGCGGCCGGGCCAACCCTAGCGCGCGCGCATCGACCAGCTAGTTGGGCGCGACCGACGCGGCCGCGGCGGCGCTGGCCGCCGGGCGCAACCAAGCGGGCGCTTCGCTGCGAATCGGCGACGTGGGCGGGCGCGGTATCATGGCAACGTCGCCAACGGTAGACGCGGCGATGATGGCGGCGATGCTGGCGACGACGTTCGCACCGACGATGGCGCGGACAGCGCGGGCGCCGACGCTGATCGCCCCGACGACGGCGGCGGCGCCCTCGCGTCGGCGATGCAGGTTTTGGAACGAGTTCGACATGCGCGCGCGGCCGACGCGCGAGAGTTGCCCGCGCGGCGTCCTCTGACGCGGATCGCGCACCCCCCCCACCCCCCACCCCTAGCGCGCAAGGACGCGCGAATGATGTCGGCATGCGGCGCGAGAGGCTTGTTTGGCAGAATTCCATGAACATGTTGACAACACCGATGGTTCCCCACAGAAGTCGCAAGAAAAGGAGCGCGTGCTCGTTTGACAACTGGCGTTATGAAGACATTTGTTTTGTTTTCTATGGTTGTTGGACGCTCGGCCTTGAAATCGCAGCGGAACAGAAGGTGGTTTGAAGGATTTTGGCATGCGCGCGCGACGACGCGAGCGCGTGCACTTCGTCCTATGCGTTGCAAAGAGTTCTCGCGAGGGCATGCGCGCAAAGGCGCCCGAAAGAGTTCGACGCGCGCGCGCGAAGCCCGTTTGATAGCATGAACACGTTGAAGAGCCCATGGCTTTCTTTCGTTTCCGCAAGAGCGCGCGCGAGCTTTTGAAAATCAGCGCTGGGGCACCATGTGTTTCTATATGTGTTGCGGGTGCTCGAGTTTGAAATCCTTACGCAACCATCTGTTTTTCTGGATTTCGCGCGACGACGCGCGCGCGTGCACTTTGTCTCATCTTGTGTAAGGGATTCCTGAAAGCTGCTGAGTTTTGATCATCGAGTGGGCGCGGCTTAGTTCTATGTTCTATATGCAGAAGATGACAGGGTGGGCCGATACTGGCCTGGCTGGAATGGCATGTGTTCGCGGGTGGGTCGACTCTATTCTCTTCGTAAACAGAAAATCTATGCAACATCGACGCAGTGCAATTGATTTATGCAAGCGAACTGACACATCCCATGCTCTTGAAAACGTCCCACTTACCGACCCGCAACTTGGTTTGCAAAACCCATCCGGTGGCGATTGCGACGCATGCTTGGCGTTGGCTGGTGCATCTCTACGACCGCGCCATTCCTAGCGCGCGCGGCGGCCAACTAGTTTGGCGTGGCCCACGCGAGCGCGGTGGCGCTGACCGCTCGGTTCAGTGCGAGTCGGCGACTTGGGCGGGCGCGGTTTCACGGCAAAGTCGTCAACGGCAGACGCGATGATGATTGTAGCGACGCATGCGTCGACAAGGACGATGGCGATGACAACGGCTAGGCACAAGACAACGCCGATGCTGACCACGACGGTAGCGACTATGTTGTCCACGCGTTGGCGATGAAGGCTTCGGAAGGACTTCGACATGCGCTCGCGGCCGACGGGCGCGACGGGCCCGCGTGTTCTTACTTGGCCAGGATCGCGCCCCCCCCCAGCACGCGCTAAAAGGCGCCCGAAGGAGCTCGGCATGCGCGCGCGAGAAGACCGCTCGAACGCATTGAATGAGCACGTTGCAAAAGCCATGGTTGTCGAAAGAATGTTGCAAGAACGCGCGCGCAGGAATGTTGCATTTGTTTATATTTGTTTTCGGGGTAATCGACGTTGACATCCTGGCGACGCCCGAGGTGTCAAAACAGATGCCAGCATGCGCGCGCGACGACGCGCGCGCGTGCAAGTCGCTTCGCTTGTAGCAAAGAAATCTTGAGCATGGATAATTTTGGGAAACGAGTGCGCGCGTATTTTTTCCGACGCAGAATGGTGGGGGGTGCCGAACTTAGCCGGGCTAGGGTTGCGTAAAACCATGCTCAGAATGAGCAGCGGGGCACAGTCGCGCGCAGTTTGCACGCTCCTAGGAGGATCGAGAATCCAGGCCCGGGGGGGGCGGAACATCCGAATTCCTCGGTGGAAAGAAGAATCTATAAGGAGCAACGTATGTGGCGTAATCTAACCATGTGGTTCAAACTATGTGGTGCAACGAGCGCAATTCAATCTACGTGGTGTAGTTGATGTACTTGTTTGCGATTGCATGCCTGGCGTTGGCTGGTACATCTCTGCGGCCGCGCCAACCCTGGCGCGCGCGCGGCAGCCAGCTAGTTTGGCGCCGCCGACGCGGCCGCTTTGGACCTGACCGCTGGGCGCATCCCGGCGGGCGCTTCACTAGTCGGCAACTTGGGCAGGCGCGGTGTCATGGCAATGCCATCTACGGTAGACACGATGGTGACAGTGGCGATGCTGGCGACAATGCTCGCACCAACGAAAGCGCTGCCAGCGCGGGCGCCGACGCTGATCGCGCCGACGACGGCGACGGCGCCCTCGCGTCGGCGATAAAGGTTTCGGGAAGAATTCGACGCGCGCGCGCGGCCGACGCGCGAGTGGCCCGCGCGGTTTCAGTGCGACGCGGATCGCGCCCCTCCAGCACGCGCGCAAGGGCGCGCGAATGGTTTGGCAGAATTCTATGAACATGCTGAAGCATCTGTGGTTTGCCAAAGACTTCGCAAGAGCGCGCGCAACCTTCCTTTCTTGTTCTTTTTCTCTGGAGGAGGGGAAAACTGATGCAGCGAAACCGCGCGCGTTTGAATGCTGTTTGGACATCTTGTTCTGACATCGTCGCGGAACCGAAGGTTCTTGAAGGATTTCGGCATGCGCGAGCGACGACGCGCGCGCGCACTTCGCCCCATTTGAGCAAAAAAAGGTTCTCGCGGCGGCACGCGCGCAAATTCGTTCGAAAGATTTCGACATGCGCGCGCGAAGAAGATTCGCGCTGGGAAACAATGTTCCATGCGTTTTGGACACTCGATTTTGAAGCTCTTGCGGCGCCGAAGATGTTCGAAGGATGTCGGCGTGCCTCCCACGACGCCGCGCGCGCACTCTGGCATGTTTTCGGCGCGGGACTCTTGAAAACTAAAGATTTGTGATGGGCGAGTGCTCGCGCGCATCATTGGCCGCAGAAAATGGCGGCGGGGGGTCGAATCCGGATCGGCTGGAATGGCGTGCGTTCATATTCCGGATGGGCGATGGGGCAGAATCACATGTAAATGCAAAGCAAAAAATTGCGCCGAAAAAGCCGGGGGCGCACTCTATTCTTTTGAAGAACGAGAACGGGTTTTCACAAACGAACTGGCGCATCCCATGCACGTGCAAACGTCCCGCCCACACACCCGCAACTTGGTCTGCAAAACCCACGCGGTGGCGATCGCGATGCGCGCTTGGCGCTGGCTGGTGCATCTCTGCGGCCGCGCCGACCTAAGCCGGCGCGCGCGCCGGCCAGCTAGTTTGGCGCGACCGGCGCGGCCGCGGCGGCGCCGGCCGCTGGGCGCATCCCAGCGGGCGCATCGCTGCGAGGTCGGGGGCTCGGGCGGCCGCGGTGCAATGGCAACGTCGACAGCGGTAGACGCGACGACGATAGCAGCGATGTCGGCGACGACGTCGGCGACGCGATCGCGCGGCCAGCGCGGGCGCCGATTTTGATCGCGCCGGCGACGGTGACGGCGCCGTCGCATCGGCAATGAAGGTTTTGGAAAAGATTCGGCGCGCGCGCGCGGCCGACGCGCGAGAGTTGCCCGCGCGGCGGCCTCCGACGCGGATCGCGCCCCCCCCCTTCGGCGCGCGCGAATGACGTCGGCATGCTGCGCGAGAGGCCCGTTTCGCATAATTCTTTGAATGCGTTGAAACACCTATGGTTTTCCAAAGAATTCGCAAGCGGACGAGCGCACTCTTTCTTGAAAGCTGACGCTGCGAAACCATGTTTCCACTATGGTTGGGCGCTCGGTTTTGACATCGCCGCGGGGCCGATGGTTTTTGAAGGATTTTGGCACGCGCGCGCGACGACGCGCTCGCGCGCACTTCCGCCCAATTTGTTGCAAGGTTTCTCGCGAGAGTATGCGAGCCAGGGCGTTCGAACGATTTCGACTTGCGCGCGCGCGCGAAGCCCGTTTAGTTGCGCGATATGAACATGTCGAACAACCAATGGCTTTCTTAAGAATTCACAAGGACGCGCGCGCAAGCGTTCTTTCGAATATCCGCGTTGAGAAACCATGTGTTTTCATATTTGTTGGGCGCTCGGCGTTGAAGTCCTTGCGACACCGACGGTTTTGAAGGATTCCAGCATGTGCGCGCGACGACGCACGCGCGCGGTGGCGGTTGCGATGCGTGCTCGGCGTTGGCTGGTGCATCTCCGCAACCGCGCCAACCCTTGCACGCGCGCTCAGCGGCCAACTAGTTTGGCGCGGCCGCCGCGCACGCGGTGGCGCTAACCGCTTGGTTCAGTGCGAGTCGGCGACTTGGGCGGGCGCGGTATCATGGCAACGTCGACGAAGGTAGACGCGATGATGATAAGAGCGACGCTGGCGACGATGCTGACTGCGACGACGGGGCAGCCAGACGGCGCCGATGCTGATCACGCCGACGATAACGGCGTCTTCGCGTCGGGGATGAAGGTTTTGGAAGGAGTTCGAGATGTGCGCGCGGCAGACGCCCGAGTGGCCCGCATGGTAATATTTGATACGGATCGCGCCACCCCAGTACGCGCGAAAAGGCGTTCGAACGATTCCGACATGCGCGCGCGAAGCCCGTTTGGTATCGTGCCATGAACATATTGACAAACAAAACCTCTGCTTTTGTCTAAGAACTCGCAAAGTCGCGCAAGCTTGTTTTGAACATCCGTGTTCAAGACATTTTTTTTTTTATATATATATATATATAAAAAAAACGAATAATGATTTTGTGACGCTCGATTCTGGAATCCTGCCGACAATTAAAAAGATTCCGGCATGCGCGCGCGACGACACGCGTGTACGCACTTTGTCTCATTTTGTGCACGGGATGTTTGGAAACTGGTAATTTTGGATCAACGAGTGTGCGCGCAATCTTTTCTTGCAGAGGATGGCCAGGGGGGCCGATATCGGCCTGGCTGGGATGGTATGAGTTCATATTTTCGGATGGGCATTGGGGCAGAATCATACGTAACTTGCAATACGGAAAGGGGGGTCGATAATCCGGGGAGGTTTTTTGTGCAATTCACTTCGACTGTCTTGAAACTGTCCTCTCCGCCGCTCGTGCAAACATCCCACCCTCCCACCCGCAACTTGGTCGCAAGACTTCTTGAGACCGTGGCGGTGGGTACCACACCAAATTGCACTTGGCAGCGGCAGCGACGCCGACGACGACAGCGACAACCACGACGACGAAGACGCCGACGACGACTACGACGACACCGACGACGTCTCCGACGACTTCACCGACGAAAACGACGACGCCGATGCCGACGACGATGACGCCGACGCCGACGCCGACGACGACGACGCCAACGACGACGACGCCGACGCCGACGCCGACGACGACGACGAGGACGACGACGCTTGACGACGACGCCGACGCCGAAGCCGACGACGAAGACGAAGACGAAGACAACGACGACAACGTCGCCAACGAAGACGACGACGACGAGGGAGGAGGGAGGACGACGACGGCGACAGCGACGGAAACGACGAGGGGGGAGGGGGGACGGCGACGACGCGAACGACGACAACGACGAGGGAGGAGGGAAGACGACGACGACGACGACGACGACGACGACGACGACGACGACGACGACGGCGACGAAATAGGAGGGACGACGACGAGACGCCGACGACGGACGACGACGACGACGAGGGAGGAGGAAGGACGACCACGGCGACAACGACGACGGAACCGACGACGACGCCAAAGAGGACGACGACGACGAGGAAAGATAGAGGACGACGACGGCGACGGCGACGACGAGGAGGGAGGAGGCGGCGACGACGACGACGCAAAAACGCGCGCGCACGCTTTTGTTGAAAATCCGTGTTGCGATACCGTATGTTTTTGCATGTTTCTTGGACACTTGATTTTGACATCCTTCCGGAACCGATGAGGTTTTCTAAGGATTTCGGCATGAGCGCGCGACGACGAGCGCGCATGCACGTCGTCTCGTTGTGTTGCAAATGATTCTCGCGACGGCACGCGCGCAAGGGCGTTCGAACGACTTCCACATGCGCGCGCGAAGCCCTTTCGGTAGCATTATTGTAAGATCGAAAAACCTGTGGTTTTCTGAACACTTCGCAAGAGCGCGCGTGTAAGCTTCTTTAGGGGCTCAATGTTGCGAAACTCTGTGTATTTGTTGTTTGGAAACTCGATGTTGAACTCCTGCCGAAACCGAGGGTTTTGGAAGAATTTCGGCATGCGCGCGCGACGGCGCGTGCATTTGTTGCAACAAATGATAGGCAACTCCTGGCTTTTGATACACGAATGTGCGCGCATACATTGTTTTGCTGAGGCTGGCGGGGGGGGGGGTCGATACCGACCTGGCTGGGATGGTATGAGCTCACAGGTAGGATGGTCAATGGGTCAGAATCCTGTGCTTTGCATCGGTCCCCGGGGTATTTTTAACCCTGGTGGGGGGGTAGAACCGATTCTCTTTTTAGAAAAGAGAATCTATGTGGTGCACGGGGCGCCAGCCACGAGCAGCGACGAGGCGGCGACGGGGCGGCGACGGCGGTGGACCTGACACAGAAGCCCAAACGACGGGCGGCGACGAGGCGGCGACGGGGCGGCGACGGCGACAACAAGACGGCGGACCTGACAAACGAGCCAAACAGCTCCGAAGAGAAGTGAGAACCCCCCTGTGCGAGCACTGTTCGGGGAATGTCTATTCCTCCCATGAGCACCTCCGTGGAAAAGGTGCACAGGCGGAGCCGCCTCCAGCTGCCCGTCACGCTCAGGGGGGCGGCCCAGCAGGAACGTGCTGGCCCCCAGCACTCCTCCCAACCGTGCCTGGTAAGACAGCCCTGCTGCCAGGGCGGCTGCGCCCCCGTTGGAGAAGCCGGCCACGAAAATTCGCTCAGGTCTGATACCGCGAGCGATTTCGCGGTCTACCAGGGCGTGGACGTAGCGGACGCTCTCCTGCATGATCCCCAGGTGCCCGAAATCGAGCAAGGCGGACGTGTTCTCCATCGCCTTGTTGACCTCGTCGTACCCGAAGGCAACCCACCTGGGGAAGGGCAGCCGCACCGTGCCCGTCGGGAAGAGCAGCGAGGTTGACGGCAACGCCTCTCTGAGATCCGCCCCCACCGTCCAGGACGCCACTGCGCCGTTGCCGGCCCCGCAGTGGAGCCAGATCAGGGCCGAGTCTGCGAGGCCCCCCTCTGGCCGCAGCTCGAAGAGCGGACCGTAGGGCTCCGGCGGCTGGAACTGGCCCTCGGGGCAGGGAGCGAGCCGTACACCCTGCACCGATCCCGACCAGGCCAACCCCAGGCCAAGGATCGGTGTAGCTGTATCAGATCTCGCGCGTCGCGCCCGGACTTGAAGGGGCCCAGACACACAGAGATAAATGCACACGAATCCCACGATTCCCAAGATTCTCCAATGTGTTTTGTGTTGTTTCGTCTTCGCTTCCCCCCAAATGCCGACAGCTTCGTATGTCTTCCTGTCGGTCGACGATGACTTGTGTCTGTGTGTGTTTTTGCTCCCCCTCCGGAGGACTTCTCGCCATCGCTCGGACGTCCATTCCCTGTGTTTTTTTCGGTTTCGTGTGTGTTTTTTCGCCAAATGATCAAGGATGCTCCTCGATGGTCCTCGCCGAAGGAAAAATGCACACGTCCGAGCGATGCCAGATGGCCTTCGCACCCCCGCAGGTGGCCTCGGCGCACACCCAGACATCGTACGGCCAGCCTGTAGGATAAGGGTGCGCGGCAAGGATGCAACAAGGGCTCCCAACCTTCGCGCTTCGCGCCGCGCGGAGCGCGAAGCGCGAAGCGCGAATAGCTTCGCGCTCTCGCGCCGCCTCCCAGGGGAGAAGAGGAGGATGAGGAGGAGTCGGAGCCGAACCGCGAAACGCGAATAACTTCGCGCCCTCGAGGGCGCCCTTGATGCAAGGACCCTGGAGGGCCATGCTAGCGCTTCTTCGAACGGGGTCTGCCAGCAAAAGTCGCTGAGGATGGGCCAAAGTGGTGGCAAGGATGCGGTAATTACCCTTGGGAAGGTTGCCCATCCCTCCTATGCGGGCTGACTGCGTGTCTCGAACTCTTTCAGGCGAAGCCGGAAGTCCTGACACTTGCCCCAGGGCCCGCTGCTCACCCCGAGCCGCCTCCTCCAGGCCTCCTATAGGCCCTGGGGAGGGACCCTTGGCCCTGTCGAGGTATTTAGGAGAACGAACAATGACATAAACATAATAACTCGGAGGTCCGCGCGGATTTCTCGGATCCGCGCTGAACCCCCCTGGCGGCGCCTCCGGCGCCGCCCCTGGCGCGCTCCGCGCGCCAAGGAGGGGGGTCCAGCGCCGATCCGAGAAATCCGCGCGGACCTCCGAGTTTTAGTGTTTATGTCATTTTTCGCTCCCCTAGTATTGGACGTCTGGGCAGTTCACAGCGAGATGGATGCCACGGTGTGATTGGCCCAGGATGCGTTGGAGAACCCCCCCCCGAGTGTCCAGCGGCCTTTGTCCCTGGAGCCCGGGCGGAGCCGCAGGAATCCTGAGAAACTCTGGACAGCCTGCCTGGACCGCACCACTGTCATGGCTCCTTGTGCTACGGCAGGTTCGCGTCGTGACGAACCCAGCGTTGATTCCTGACACCGCGGGGATCGGTCAAGCTCGAGCGATCGGCCCCTTCAAGAAGGCCAGATCGTTCAAGGATGGGCCGATTCTGGGTCACAGGCGGCGTTCAACCTTAGACGCCCGCGCTGGGGTCGCCGCCGGTCGACACGACGCGAACCTGCCGTACCGCAAGGATCGCCAGAGAAAGAACAAAGGGGTTCTCTGATCACGGAGACCCCTGGCTTCGAACAGGTTCGCCGACCTGGATCTGAGGAGCGGTCCCGAAACGAGAGCCCCCCCTCCTGAGCCCTATTTCAGCGTCTTGACTGCAGCCCAGCGCCCGCCTTCTGTGGCAACTCACAGGAGCCTCCCATGTCATCATGCTGGCTCTTGCGAATCGACGCTGGCCGACGTCAATCGACGCTAAGTCGACACCAATCGGCGCTCCCTTACCGATGACAAGATTTAATGCACTGCAGAGGCGCCGCTTCGACGCTCAGCCCGACGACGAGCGGCGACGCCGACGACGAGCCGACCACGACTATAGGCCGCCGACGACGACTAGCGGCGACGGCGACGACGCCAGCGAGCGGCGACAAGCAGGCGACAACCACGCCGACGACGCCCACGGCTCCCACAAACTTCGGAAGCCGGGCAAGGGCTGCTAAATCCGTGGCTGCTAAAATCGACCTCCGGGAAGTTGTCTTCGTCCTTCCGGGAATATAAGCCCGTTGACTGCTTCGCGCGCCGCGCCTCCTTCCGGGAAATTGCTTTTCTTTGTTTTCTTCCGGGAGGGCCGTCTTACAGCAGCCACGGCTTTAGCGCGGCCCTCGCCCAGCTCCCGAGAGCTGCTGCCGAGCATCCCCCCGCCTCGCCCGCGCGCCGCCCGGCCCGCGGCGCCCGCCGCCCCCCGCCGCGGCGCCCCGCACGCGCCGCCGCCGCGGCGCGCCCCGCGGCGAGCGGGCCGCCGGTGGCCCTCGCCGTGGCTGCGCCCGCGGCGCACGCGCCCGCGCGGCCCCGCCGGCCTCCCGCGGCCAGCGCCGCCGCGGCCAGCGCCGCCGCGGCCAGCGCCGCCCCCCGCCGCGCGGCGCCCCGGCCCGCCATCTGGGCGGAGGCCCGCTGGAGCGCTCGCCCCCGCTCCGGCCCATGGGGGGGGGCAGAGGAGGGGCTGCTCCTCCTCCTCCTCCTCCTCCTCCTCCTCCTCCACCTCCTCCTGCTCCTGCTCCTGCTCCTCCTCCTGCCTCCTCCTCTTCCTGCTCCTGCTATTGCTCCTGCTCTTGCCTCCTCCTCCTCCTGCTTCTGCTCCTCCTCCTCCTCCTCCTCCTCCTTCTCCTGCTCCTCCTCTTACTCCTCCTCCTCCTCCTCCTCGAGGTCACGTCTGGAGACTTCGGAAGCCAGAACTGGGCAAAGGGGAAGAGCGGAAGACGGGAAGCGGGAGCAAGGAAATTAATGGCTGGAGGCCGCCCGCGCAAGGACCGAGAACGGGAATCGGGAACTGGCCAAAAGCAATCGTGCTGCAAGCGGGACTCCCCGGGCAAGGACCGGAATCGGAAACCGGAAAACGGAAAAGCGGAAAACAAACAGCGGGGGGAGGTCCTTGGACGGGGGCCCGAACCGGAAACCGGAAAACAGAAAACGGAAAGCGGGAAACGCGGGAATCCCCTGGGCACCAGAGACTGGAACCGGAGAACAAAAAACAGAAACCTGAAATCCGAAACCGCAAACCCGAAAGCGGAAGCCGAAGGACGGAAACCGGAAACGGGAAACTGGAAACCTAGGGGGCAACATGCGAACCCTACCCCTACCCCCCACGATTTCTGGGGTGTGGGTGGGGTTCACTTCACTCGGGAGCCCCCGAGCGAAATGACCCCCCCCAGAAATCGTAGGGGGTAAAAATAAGGTTCGCATGTGGCCCCCTAAAACCAAAAAAGGAAAATTGAAAACGGAAAACCGAAACTGGAAAACGGAAACCAGAAAGCGGAAACCGCAAATTGAAAACCAGAAGCCCGAAAATAGGAACCAGAAGTCGGAAGCAGAACAGGACCTCTGGAGCCCGACTTCTCCCGCAAACAGGAACAATTGTCTTCCCCTCCACTGTCTCCTCAGAAGCAAACCTCCCCCTCCTCATATTCTCCTCAGCCGTCCGTCCTCCTCCTCCTCCTCGCTTCTCCTCCCAGCGTTCATTCCTGTCCGCCTCCTCCTCCTCCTCCTTCTCGCTTCCCCTCCCAGCGTCCCCTCCTGTTCCTGCTCCTGCTCCTGCTCCTGCTGCTGCTGCTCCTCCTCCTCCTCCTCCTCCACTCACGTCCTCCCTCCTCCTTCCCCCTTCAAGTAGATCGTATTCGTATCACGGCCCTGGGACACTCGTAAAGGCACAAGACGAAACCAAACATTCCTACCCGCTTTGGAAGGGTAAGGCGAGTGAGCGGAGGAGAAGGCGCCGAGACCCGTGACAGCACCCGGGGAGCGCTGCAAAGAGAAGGAAACATCCTCCAAGACGCCCAGGATGGCCGCCAATGCGCCCCCAAGACTCGGCCAAAATGGCAACAAGACGGCCCGACGTTGCACCAATATGGCGCACGCCGGGCCCAGAGATCTCCAAGAGGACTCCAAATCTGCCCAAGAGGCCGTCAAAGGCGCCCGAAGGAGCCAAAAAACACGAAAGCGGCGACCAGTGGAATCGCCGAAACGCACGCTTGTTACGGCAGAAATGGGTGAACAGACTTGGTACGTGTCAAGCCCTGCGGGGCAAAATGTGTTCACCCATCTCCTGCGTAATATATATATATATATATATATATATATATATATATATATTCGTTTCTGACAAATGGTAGTACATCTATACTAGAACCATCGCGTGCGCTTCGCGCGCGCTCAAGTTCTAGCTAGGGTCATGATCATCGTCATCATCGTCATCCTCATCCCCGTCATCTTTCATCGTCATCGTCATGGTCATGGTCACCTCCACCATCACCACCACAACAATCATCATTGTCACTATCATCATCATCATCATCATCAGCATCGTGATCACCATCGCCATCATAGTCATCGTATTTTCCAGCAACATCATCCGCATCATCAACATCTTGTTGGTTGTCGTCGGCATCGTCGTCGGTATAGGCTCCCAAGAGACCCCTACGAGGCCCCAAGAGATCCCCCAGAGGCACCCAAGACGCTCCAAGAGGCCTCGGCGAGATGCCAAAAGCATTGACTTTACAAAGGTTTTGGCCACATTTGGGCTCCTGGGGGGGGGGGGGCACTGCTTCAGATGACTCCACGAGCGCCTGGGAGAGCCTAAGATGACCTCCAAGATGGCTCAAGACATCCCAAGATGCCTCAATATTGCTCACGATGCTCCAAGAGGCCCCAAGACCGCTTCAAGACGGCTCCAAGTGGCCAAAGAGCTCCCCCAGGAGGCCCCGAAGAGGCCACAATCCTTCCAAAACTTTGGGAAAATCAATATTTTGGCCATCCGAGGCTTCAAGATGACTTCAAGATGGCCCAAGAGGGCTCCAAGAGCGCTCCCAAGGCTCCCGAGAGCGCTTCAAGAGGGCCCCAAGAGGCGCCCAGGAGGCCCCAGGAGGCCCCAACAGGCCTCCCAGAGGCCTCCACGAGGCCCCCTAAGAGACCCCCAAGAGGCCACAAGAGGCCCCAAGAAGCTCTCTGAGGCACCCAAGACGCTCTAAGAGGCGTCCGAGACCGCCAAGAGGCCCCCAAGACGCTCCAAAAGGCCTCCAGTGGGGGACCCTCCCTCTGTGTGCTGCCCACTTCCCTGATCGAGGCACGTCCTCTGGGCATCGTTTCTGGATGGGCTGGTGGGGTTACGCGAAACATCTAAAATTCTCTTGAAGAACTCTTGGGCCGGCGCCGGGGCCTTCGAAGGCCGTCCGAAACTGGAAACCGGAAAACAGACAACGTTAACGGAAAGCAGAAAACATGAAACGGAAACTGGAAAACGAAAACCAACAAATAAAAAAAGAGGCAACGGAAACCGGAAACGGGGAATTGGACATCCGAAACCGAAAAACTGAAACCAAAAACTGGAAAACAAAGAACCGGAACCGTAAAACAAAACATGGAAACCGGAAACTCGAAAACAAAAAACAAAAACCAAAAACTGGAAAACGGAAACCGCAAACCTGGAAACGGAAAACGGAAACCGGAGACTGGAAAACAAGGAACGGAGAACGGAAAACGGAAGACGGACAATGGAAACTGGAAGCCGCAAAACGGCAACCGGAATCCAAATGACGGCAACCGGGAAAAGAAATCGGAAAACGAAAGCCCGACTCCAGAAAACGGAAGCCGGAAACCGGAATTCTGGTTTCCGTTTCCGTGTTCTGCGGATTTTCCGTTTCCGTTCCGGTCCAGCGCCCCCGCTGACCGGAACCATCTGAGGAAGAGTTCTGTCCTCCCCCTCCTCATCCTCCTCCCTCCTCCTCCCTCCTCACCCTCATTCCTCATCCCTCCTCCTCCTCCTCCCTCCTCCTCCTTCTCCTGCTCCTGCTCCTCACCCCTCCTCCCCTTCTCAGGTTCGTTCTGCTCCTCCTCCTCCTCCTTATCCTCCTCTTGCTCCTCGTCCTCGTCCTCCCTCCTCCTGTCTCCACCACCACCTTCTCCTCCTTTTCAGACTTTCGCGCTTAATTACATACGTGACTGGCTCTTTGAAAGAATGTGTACTCGAATTGTCACATAGATGACTATAGGGGCATGAAATCACCGTTATCCGCAAAACCTGCCCTCCCTCCTCCAGGAACATCCAAAAATCTGCGAGCGCCACCCCAAGCATACGTGCGTAAAAAGAAAGCCTCATCCTTCGTTCTTATCCACCCTCTCACTCCCTGCCTCCCTCCCTCACTCTCTCTTATTTCTCTACCTCCATCTTCCTCCTGCTCCTCCTGCTCCTCCTGCTCCTCCTCCTCCTCCTCCTCCTCCTCCTCCTCCTCCTCCTCCCCCGCCTGCCTCTCTGGGAACATACGAAATCCTCCGAAGACACCCAACAACTCAGAAGACCTACCAGAAATTCCTCCTCCGTCCGATGGAAAAACGCTGGCCCAGGAAATCCGCGCGAACCTCCGGAAGTACATTCCACAAGCAGCGCTTGCACCTACGCGTTCTTTCATGGCTGACCTAAGCGTGATTGTATGAGTCTAGATTTCGACTGGTGCCCGGCTTGTGGCCGCCTATGAAAGCCACCGCGCTGGAGGGCAAGGGTTTCAGGGTTTCGACTCGTGGCCTCCCCGCGCCCTCGACCATGCAGGGATCCTCCGGTGGCCCCCTCGGGGTTCTCTTGGGTCGTGTTGGAGCTCTCTTGTGCTGCTTGAAGCTCTCTTCAGGCCGTCTTGGGGCCCTCTTGGAGGCGTTTTGGGCTGTCTGGGGCCGATTTTGGGAGCCTTTGGGGCCGTCGTGGCCGCTGTTATGACTGAAAGAGCGGACATCTCGAAAATACAACTTATCCTCCAGAAATTCTTGATTTTTACCCTTGGGGGGCCTTCTCGGCAGCCTCTCGTACCGTCTTGAGGGCCTTTGTGGCCGTCTAGGAGCAGTCTTGGGCTGTCTTCGAGCGCTCGTGGCCCGTCTGCAAGCCATCTCAGTGCCTTCCAAACAACCTGGGGTGCTTTGGGCGCCTCTTGGGCCAGCTTGGGAGCCTCTGGGGGCGTCTGGGGCCGCTTCTGAACCCTCTTGGAGCCCTGAAGGCCCCCCCGGCCTCCAATGCGAACCAGTGGTCGCAGTTCTGGACCCTCCCCCGGCCTACTCCGATACACACACACATCTACATACATATGTATACACATAAATACATACATACATACATACATACATACATACATACATACATACATACATACATACATACATGCATGCATGCATGCATGCATGCATGCATACATACATACATACATACATACATACATACATACATGCACACACACATACACATACACACATACATACATACATACATACATACAGACAGACAGACAGACAGACAGACAGACAGACAGACAGACAGACAGACAGACAGACAGACAGACAGACATACACACACATACATACATACATACATACATACATACATACATACATACATACATACATACATACATAACATTACAATGCATACATACATACATACATACATACATACATACATACATACACACATACATACATACATACATACATACATGTTTATACATGTATCTATAAGTGTGAATATAAAATGTTCAAAACATTTCTATACACATATCTATATACATATGCAAATAGCTTGAAACCGACACACACACATATACATATATATATATATAGACATGCACTATCTACCCACCGGTCGGAAGAAATGGGTGGAATCATGGAGTTGGAAGGCGTTGAAGAGTATATAGGATTTCCACCCGACCTCCAAAGCTTAAGGAGCATGGGACACCACTCGGAAGTAGGAAGGATGAGATAATTGAACTAGGACGGCGCCCGAGGTATATTGTATATTGGAACCTGGGATTCCAAGAGTACCTAGCTTCCACGACCCATGGGCAGCTTAGACCACATAGCTGGCATCACATAGATTGCATCACGCAGCTCGCACCACACAGCTGGCACACCCAGAGTGCAGGCAAGTCGCTGCCTGGGGACCGCGCTGGCAGCCATGCGAATCACCCTGCGTCCTACATTCCCTCCCCCCTCCCTCGCTCCCGCCCTCCCTCCCTCCCTGTCGTCGTCGTTGCCGTCGTCAACGTCGTCGTCAGCTCGGTCGTCCTCCTGGGTCCCTCCTCCCTCCCTCCCTCCCCGTCCTCGGCGGCGGCGCCGACCGGCGGGAGACAGCACCCGTCGCAGCCTGACGGCCTCGTCCCCGGCGAGGTGCTCCAGCAGCTCGCCCTCGAACTGGCTCGCGGCGCCGTCCACGCGGTCCAGCTGCCCCTTGAGAGCGGTGATGGTGCCCTGAGTCGGTGGTTCAAAAATGGAGTCCTGGGGGAGGGGGTCCAAAGGACGAAGTGCCTCAGACGAAGCAAATCCAACTTCGGATCCCTTCCTATTCTCAGGACCCCATCCCTCAGGTCCCCATCTCTAAACCACCGATGAGTGGAGGGGGGAGGTTCCTCCCGAGCTGTTCGCCACGGTCCTGCGTTGCCTTACCCATCTCTTGCACCCCCGCCTGTCTTTCCTTCGCCAGCTGCTGGACAAAATCACCGATAGAGCAGCAGTACTCGTTTGAAGAGTGCAAAGATGGTCGCGAATGCCAGCGCCCAGGTGGGCTTCTTACGGGCCGCATGGAAATGGATGGACGGTGTCTGAGTGACAGCATTCCCATGTGTTCTCCTCGTCTCCTTCTCCCTCTTGTCCTCCTCGTCCTTTTCCCGTCAATCGCGTCGTCCCCTCCTCCGCCCACGGATGCTCCCCGTCTAAACGGGCACGGGGATTTTATTCAGACTTGGTGTCGGCGGTCGCTGCTCGACCCTTTCATTTTTCATGCTCGGGAATCAGGCCAGTTCTATGCAATACATGTTCGAAGGTCCCTGCGCTCTTGCCCCGAAGGCAAGCATTGCATGCATTGTGTTATGTGAGGACGGGCTCTCTGGCCGTGGGGGATCTGCCTATCCTCTGTCATCCTTCCTCTCCGCGCGCCCTTCCTGTCCGCCCTGTATTATTACACCTGCCCACATCAAAAGCCATTGCGCCTTTCCGGGGCCACGCTTGAGCCTCGATTTAACGCCACGACTGCTATTGTTCCTCATCCTCTGACTCCTCCTCGACCTCCTCGTCATCCCACCCCCCTGTCCCCTTGGGCATCCTCCTGTTCCTCCCCTTTTTCCTCCTCTTTCTTCGCGTCGTTAATTATCGTTATCCTGCCTGGCCCTCGCACTGCAAGGTCTGCGACTGGGCGGCCAATCGGCGGCCTAAACCTAAGTCACAGATGGTGTACATGCGATATATGGTCAATGCGTGGTATACCGTCGTGGGTTGCACTGGACGCGCGCATGAGCATGCGAGTTAATGGAAGGGAGGAACAGGAGGTGTACACAGGCGGAAGGAGGGAATATAACGAGAGGATTGACGCGGCCACAGCGGCAATTCATCATTGGGGCACGCAACGACATCAGCAGGCAAACGAGGCAGGAGGAAGGACAATCAGGGAGGAGAGGAGGAGGAGGAGGAGGAGGAGGAAGAGGAGGAGGAGGAGGAGGAGGAGGAGGAGGAGAAGGAGGAGGAGGAGGAGGAGGAAGGAATAATTCTCCAAGTTGCGCTCCAAGGGAACACTGCGTGTTTCGTACGAAGAGCAAGCGAGCCCCGTGACGAAACGCGAGTGGGAACGGGGGAGGGGCTGGGGGAGGAAAGGTGAAACGATGGCCGCGCAAACTCCGGCGGCCCCGGCCGCGCCTCCAGCCGCCTGCGCATCGCCGCCCGCCGGCCCGCCTCACCGGCCCCCGGCCGCGCCGCTGGCACCAGGAGGAACGCCGCCGCGCGAGGCAGAAGCGCGCTGGCCCACCCTGAGCAGGGCAGGGCCGCAAGCGCCTGCCAATTCGGGGCTGCGCCGCCGCAAGAGCACGCGACTTAGCCAGGGCCGACGCCGCGTGCGGCACCCACGCGCCACTCCCGAAAAGAGCGCGGCGGCACCGCGCTGCGGCAGGCCATGGCCGACCGCGCACGGTCGCCAGGCGCGCCGCTGCTGCTGCGCCCGCTGGCTGTTTGGCTGCGCGGCCCGCGCCAGCCGTGGGCCGCTAGTCCACCGCCTGCCTGTTGCCTTTCCTGGGCGCCGCCAGCCAGGAGTTCTGGCCCGCAGAGCGGCCCATCTCACGGCGGCCAACAGCCGCTGGAAGGCGCGAGGCGCATGCAACTGCACCTGCTGCCCGACCCAAGGCGCGCGCGTCGGCGCCCGCCAGCCGGTCGGCGGTCTCGTTGCCGGCGCGGTCCTCTGGCGCGATTCCGCGGCCCGCCGCCGCGGCGGTGTCGAAGTGCCTTTTGGACCGACCGCGCGATAAAGTCGCACTCGCAACGTGACCGCACCAGCTTCCACAGGTCCGCGTGCGTCCACTCGATGGAAAAAGCGCCAGCGCGCAAGGCCGCAATCCCATGGCACACATACCGCGAGTCAGAGACCAGCTCCACGGGTGCTCTGGCCGCGCTGGCCGCGTGCGCTGCCGCAAGGAGCTGGGCCCGCTGCGCAGTCTGGGACCCGCCCATGGGCTCGCCGCGGCGCCGCAGCACGCCGTCGGGCCCTCTCCAGCAGGCCCCACCCTGCCCGAGCCAAGAAAAGGCCTGCGGCCTGCGCTGCCAGTGCGGCCAGGCACGCGTCCAGCGGCAGCACCCTGGACATGGGGACGCCGGCAGGAAGCCTCGCGAACACGGCTGCCTGGCCCAGCCCGGCGGCCTGCAGCTTGGCGCGGTGAACTGCGGCCCGCGGGGGGCACTCCAGAAGGAGTTCACATGTGGTCTCTGCCGCGGCGCCAGAGCGCGGGCACCGCGTGGGCTGGCCCCAAATCGCGGCCACCGTCTCCGTGACGATGTTTCCAGTGAGCACCGTGCGGAGGGCGCCAGCCGCGTCTGGCGCCAGTTTCTCGATCTCGAGCAAACGCTGGGTGGCCAGCGGTCGATCCCGCCACCGGCATGCCCGAGGTCGGATTGCCGCCAAGCCACCTCGCGGGCCTCGCGCCCACGCCCGCGCGTCCAGCAATGCCGCTTGGGTGTCCTGCAGCGGGCGGTGCTGCGGCCGCCAGCCTCCTGAAGCCTACGGGGCGCCCTGCCAGCGAGCGACGTCGCTTCCAAGGCCCAGGTCCGCCATGCTGAGCCAGGCGGCAGCGAAGGGCCCCTGCTGCCGCCCGTGGCTGGCGTGCACACAGCCCACCACATCGTTCAAGATCTCGAGCGGGAAGCGCCAGCGTTGCAACGCATTGGCCGCTTGCCGCAGCGGGGCTGAGGTAGCAACCGCGGCACGATCGAGGCGGCAGCTCGCGCTCAGCATGGCGAGGACCACCTCCGCGGCGGCGCGGAACCACCTCAGGCCGTCCGCAGGCTGGCCAACTCGCGCGCTGGGGGCCAGCCGCGCGAGGCGCCGTACATGCCAGCAGACGTGCCCGCCGCCGTTCCGAGGAGGCAGGCGTCTCTGCTGGAAGCCCACAGGCACGCAGACGATGCGGGAGAAGCGCCCCGCCGCTGCCTGAGCCCGAGCGCGGGTAACCGCGAAGCGACGCGCAAGCCCTGCGGCGGACGACGCGCCGAGGTCGCGGAAGCCGCAACCAGCGTCACAGGCTAGCCGTATTTGAAAAACGGCGGCTCTTGTCCCTGTTGAGGCGCCAGTGCGCCAGTCCATGGTCGTCTCGAACACCGACGTCAACCGAAGTGCATCCTGCACAGCTTCGCCGAGATCGATCGCCTTGTGGCTGGAGTCGTGAACGTACACCCTCTGCTGAAGGCAAGTGTCAAGTGCGCTGCCAAGCCTCTGCCATGGCCACGTGTTCAAAAGTAACTTGGCACACACGTGCAATTGCTGCCGCCCCCCCGCGCGCAACAAGACAAGCCGCGCTGGCACCAAATATGCCCTGGGACGCAGCGCCCTCGAACCCAAAACAGCTCTGCCTTGGCCACCTTGGCCATGCAGGTGCGGAGACGTAAACCCAGGAGCTTAAAACCAAAAATCGCCGGGTGGCCACCAAGGCGGAAAAATGGAAATACGATTTCGGTAGACGGAGATACCCAACTGCGTCGGGCCTCACAACTGAACCTCTACAGCCTGCGCGCACTCCGCCAGCCCCTCTGCCCTGGCTGCAGGCTGGGCGGTTCTGTGGCGACCACTGCGTCCTCCGACGGGCCGGCCTTCCCACGCGAGGCTTCCGAACCCCTCCGGGGGCCCTAAGGGACCCCTGCGGTAGCCCTCTTGGGCTGTCTTGGTGGCCTCTCTGGCCGTCTTGGGCTATTTTGGTCCGTTCTCGGCGCTCTCATGGGCCCCCCACCCGTCTGAAGCCTTCGGGAAGTCATGGCTGGCCCCAAAACAAACGAACTTTGAATATAATCGATTGGGCTTTGGCGATTGTCATCCACTCTGGTCTCTCGTGGGCCTATTCGTCATGAAAATATGTACGTGAGGACTCTTCGACAATGTTGAATCCTTCTTGGGGCCATCTTGGGCCGTCAAGGCGCTCTTGAGCCGTCTGGGGCGGCCCGAAACTGCCCTTCGAGGGTACCCTGGGGGCCGAAAGCCAGCAACTGCGATCGATCTGGAGGTCCCTCCATACTCATGTCTTGTGACTTTCTACTGCGTTTCGAACCCCATCTAGAAACTCAGTGGGGCTTTGATTCGGTGCCTCTTGGGATCATCTTGGGCCTTGTGGGGGAGCCCTCCTGTGCATTTGTTGGCGGCTGTCGCGGTGCTGTGCACCCGAGCGCCCTCGTGGATTCGTGTTGAACCAAAGGCCAGCACAAACCACAAACACACACACATCACTGCTTCGGACGATTGGGGCAACTTTCTACTCTACTACTGAAGCATCGCGCGCGCTTCGTGCGCACTGAAATTCGGCATGACTTGGAGCCTGCAAAATGCCCGGAGAAACGGGAACTGTTGCTTTCGGTCCCAACGCTTTCGTTGCCGAGTGCGCGGTTCGGGCGTCTGCTCGAGCTCGTGCAAGGGGTGCACAGCTATTTCCAATTAGAATGTGCTTCTCCCTGCATTGCTGCCTCTTCCTGCATTCACGCTATCCCCCCGCCCCGAGCCAAGGTGAATGGAGCGAAGGAGTGCGGGGGCGGGGAGGCGGGGCAAGGGGGAGGGCAGGAGTGAGCAAGAAGGATAGATGGAGGGAGGGAGGCAGGGAAGGAGGGACGAGGCCGAGGAGGACAGAGAAAGAAGAATGAAGAAAGGATAGGAAGGAGGGACGCCAATGACGAGTCATTCAATGAGGAATCCGACGCGGAAGAGGCGGAGGAGGATGGTGCTGAGAAGGAGGAGGATGAGTAGTGATGAGGCGGACGATGGTGAGGATGAGGGTGGACCAAGAAGGAAAGATGGGAGTGGGCAGGTGGGGATGCTACTTCTCATCTTGCACTTCGCCTCGACTCTTTCGCTCCCCAACCGCCACCTCTTCGTGGTCCACGGTGGAGCTCTCGCGCGGCCATCTCTGGGCTGCCTTGTGGCTCTTTGGGCCCGTGTTCGGATCACCTTGTAGGGAACCCACAAGGGACGTACGCGCCCAGCTATGTACATGAACACGGCCCCTCGACCAGCGAGACCGGCCGCGTGATACGAACAGTCGCGCAAAGCGAACTCTCGAAACCAGCGTGGATTCCTGTACGTGTACGTTCTTCCTTCGCTCCTGATCTCGGGGCCCCCTTGTAACCTTCTGTAGGCATCTTGTGCATGCATCTTGGAACCATCTTCATCGGGGCCGTCCTGGAGCCTTCTGAGGGCATCCCGGGCGCGTGGGCCGCCTCGGGCTCCTCCGGAAGCCGTTGTCGGCCCTCCTGGGGCTCTCTTGGGGCAGTCGCCATCTCGGAGCCCTCTTGGGGCCCTGATGGACACGCTTCGGCTGCTCCGAGGCCATCCTGGGGCCACACTTTGTTGACAAATCAACTGCGTTCGACTGATCTGGGCGGTTTGGGAGTCCTCTTGGGGCCCTCTCGTAGCCTGGGGCCCTCGTGGAAAACCTGTGCAGCCTGCTGAACTCCCTGGGGCCTCTCGTGGGGTCGCCTCGGAGACCCGTCGGGGAATCTGCAGGGACGCCGGGGTCGATTTGGGGCCACTGGACCCTCCCGGAGGGGCCAGGGGGAGGCTCTGGGAAGTAAAGGGGGCCCTCGGGGGGCCCTGCGTGCCCCTGGCGCTGCGGCCCCGGAGCCCCTGGGGCCGGGCTTCCCGTGCAAACAATGTTGGACATGTGCGTGCATTCCAAACTGTGTGGCACCAGGGAACACCCCCAACCATAATCTTTTTAATGGTATAGGGCTATGGGGCTAAAGGGCCATAGGGCTGGAAGGCTGTAGGGCTATAGGGCTAGAGGGCTAGAGAGCTAGAGGACTAGGACCCCTACGGAGGCAAGCTCTGATTGGGGAACATGTCTGTCTGTCTGTCTGTGTGTCTGTCTGTCTGTACGTATAGATGTACAGGTATATCTTCATATGTATGCATGTATGTAAGCACCGCATGAGAGCGAAAAGAGGAGATCTCCCGCCCTTCCGCGAAGCCCGGGCGCCACTACCGTGCCTGTCCGCAAACCGCCGCCCCTCGAGGCCTGGTACTGGCCGAAGCTGTCCTTCACCGCCACGGCCGCCTCCTTCGCGGCCTGGGTTTTCACGTGCACCCTCTCCACGGCGTCCTCGCGCGTGCCCGCGAGAGCTGTTCCTTTCTCACGCCGCTCATGCTGAGGCTCGCGGGCGCGCGCGCGTGCGCCCGCGGGCGTGGGTGCAGGCGAGGCCCCATGGCATCGCCGCGACTCAATCTGAGGCGCTCGACTGTCGTCGGGACAGCCACCGGCGATCACCGCCAAGACAGCCACGGCGCAACACTCGCCATCAAACAAGGGTCATGAGGGAAACGGGGCGTTACACTCTGGGGCATCCCTGTGGGCCAATTCTTCGAGTGGGGCATCAATCGAGTACAGAACTGGTTTACCCCAGACTTGATTTCTCCGTCGCGCAACTCGCAGACTGCTCAGTAGATCCACGGCACATGTTGCGCACGTTTCGCAAATTCTAGAAGAACTAAGAACCGCCATGAACAAAACTTTTGGCGCTCCGCGCGAATTTGGATCTGCGCTGGACCCCCCTCCCTGGCGCGCCTCTGGCGCCAGGGGCGGCGACGGAGGCGCCGCCGCAGGGACCCAGAGCGGATCGAAGAAATCCGCGCGGAGCGCCAAAAGTTTATGTTTCTGGCTTTCTGAACTTCTTCGAGTTTCGCAAATTCGACGGTCAAACGAACTGTGGGGTAAATCATTGCTGTGGTCGATCCGGTACAGAAGGGGCCCGACCACAAGAAACCTTCCACAAGAAACCCAACCCTGAGACCCCAGGACGTACATGGACTTTTTGGCGTGGGAACGCCACGCCTTCCATCGCAAAACCATCGAAACCCAAGAAACCCACGGCCCCTGGAGGCAAGCCGGGTGTTTCTTGGCAAGGGTCTCCACTGTACTCGACTTCTCCAGCCAGAGCAGACTTTTGGCGGCGCGTCCAGGGGGGCAGGGGGAGGGGGCAGGCTTCTTAGAAGGAGGCGGCTCCTTAGAGGGCACGGGCCTCGCATCTCTAGAGAGGGCCCGCGCCTTCTCAGAAGCAGGGGTGTTTCTGAGAAGCCTTTCCCCCCCCCTCTCCTGCCTCCCTCTGCTCGTGGCCGAGACTCTTGCCATCGCTCGGGCGCCCATTTCCCGTGCATCTTCCGGCCTCATGTTTTTTTTTTTTACTCCATGGTCCAGGATGGTCCTCGATGGCTCTCGCCGAGAACAAATGGCACACGTCCGAGCGCTGCCAGGGACCTGGACGGCCCCTGGGCCCAGGGATGGCCTGAAGAGTCCCGAGACGGTGCGGTGTGACCGACCCGGTGCGGAGACCTCGACATCCCCCAGGAGACCTCACCGCGCGGTCCGCAAACGCATTCTGCACGAACGAGATGGGCACGGAAAGAATGGGCACGATGCCCAGCAGCAGTTCTTAGCTCATTCTGAACAGGACTCGCTGTCCACGCCGCCGCGGCCTGTGTCAGCTTGAGACAGAGGGCCGCCTGCCCAACAGCGGCCGCTGTTGGTTTGGGACAACATCTGTTGTTGGGCATTGTACCCCTTCTTTCCGTGCCCATTTCGGGCGTCCAAACCGACGGCCCTGGCGGCCCTCAGAGGAGGAAAAGGTGCCTGTACCGCCACCCTTCCCTCGTCTTTCCCTTTTGGGGGCTCCTGGGATGCCCTCGTCGCCACCGCTGGCTTCGCCTCGAGATTGTGGTCAGATCGCACGCCACTCGGGCGTCCAGACGCATGGCCTTCGGGACCTCCGACGCCCCCGTCGCCCGAGGCGTCCTCGGAGGACGGCCCGATCGCCCCAGAACCGCGCGGTGACCCCGAGCCCCTCGGAATCCTTACGAGTCCCTGCGAACCCTTGCGAGTTCCTTGCGAATCCCCTTGAGACTCCCTGCGCAAACCTATAACGCCTTGCCCGCCCGGGCCCCCGGTGAAATCCTTCGGGACCCCTACTGGCCATGACGATGTGCAAGGATTCCTATCGAATCCTTACGAACCCTGGAGAATCCCTAGGATCGGGGATGGACAGACCTCCCTTTAGTAAAACGTGGTTTAGTGAAAACGACCTGAGGCCCCAACCTGGCGGGCGCAAGCCTGGAAAAGAACGGCCGCGGCGCCCTCTCGAGAGCCGAAAACGGACAATTCACTAATCGACGTGTCACTGTTAGGGGTTCTGTCCACCCCCGACCCTTGAGACTCCCTGCGCAAACCGAACGCCTCGCCCGCCCGGGTCCCGGGTGAACTCCTTCGGCGGGACCCCTGCTGACCATGACGATGTGCAAGGGTTCCTATTGAATCCTTACAAAAACCTGGAGAATCCCCAGGAATCCGCACCCCCGGGTGAACTCCTTCGGAGCCCCTACTGACCATTACGATGTACAAGGATTCCCATTGAATCCTCACGAAATCCTGGAGAATCCCCAAGAGTCCGTACCCCACCGGCTCGCCGCACGGTGCGGCCACCACACCACTTAGGGGGCCCCCGGGACGGCCCGCGGCGACACCGAGACCTGAGGACCCGCCTCCGCGGGCAGCTGGGCAGGGGCCGCGCGGGGCCGAGCGAGCGCGCGGTCCGGCCGGATCGTCGTCGTCGTCGTCGTCGTCGTCGTCGTCGTCGACGTTTTCGTCGTTGTTTTCGTCGTTTTCGTCGTTTTCGTCGTTGTCGTCGTCGTCGTCGTCGTCGTCGTCGTCGTCGTCGTCGTCGTTGTCGTCGTCGTCGTCCGCCCAGGATGCCCCCTTTGCACGGCGAGCGGTGCAGCACCGTCGCCCTGGCGCCGACGGTGCCCGAGACGACCGCTGCCGCTCGCCCCCCGAGCTCACGGCTTCTCTGAGACGAGGCCAGGGCGAGGACGAATTCGGAGGAGGACAAATCGCTAGCCTAGAGGCCTCCTGGATGGGGTGCGAGTAGATGGGGGGGCTGGAGGATTGCACCGCATCGCCGAGGTATCGCCGATGCATCGCCACTTTAGCGGATAGGCGATGCCGGCTCCTACCTGAAAAACATGAGGAAGGTATGGAATGGGCCGGTGCCACCTTCTGCGAACGGAGATGCCGATCTGCCAACCCCTTCGCGCAACATTCGTCAACGTAAGAGTTGTGGAAACCTTTCATGATTTCGGATCCATTGCGGCCTGAGGGTGATTGAGAGACGCGTGTTTGAAACGTGGCGATCGTGCATTTTCTGGTCCTGATTGGCATAAGATGTCACGATCAACGCCACGAGCTGCTTCCCGCGCACCCCTTCAGACCCCCACGCCCAATTGTTACACGCACAGCGCTGGACCGCAAGCCCAGCAGAGACCGCAAGATGGACCGCACGGTCGCGATCACTGCTGGGCAGTTGAATGCCTGCCTCGTCGATGTGGTACGTAAAGCTGACCAAACGTAGCTCTCTCTCTCTCTCTCTTTCTCTCTATCTCTCGCTCCCTCTCTCTCTCTCTCTCTCCTCACTGCTGAACAAAACAACATCCGTTGCATGCACTTCTATGCATGTGTAGTTCAAATAATATACTGCTGGTAACACTTATCTGGATGCTGTACCGCCTGGCGACTGCATCTGCCTCCGATCGAACAGCGGAAGGCGGAAGGAGAGGAGGGAAAGGAGGAAGATAACCAACATGAACTCAAGATGCGACAATCAATTTGACAGATATGCCTTTAAAGAACCCTTACCCCGAGAAACGAGCAACCGATGCACCTGCCACGCAAGCGAGCCCAAGGTTGCATGGAAACTGCCTTGCATCCTCCTGGCGAACAGGAGTTGCGAAGCCTGCAACGAGATGCCCGCAGGGAGAGAGAACGAGAGAGAGAGAGAGACAAAGAACGAGAAAAAGAGAGAGAGAGAGAGAGAGAACACCATTTTGAACATGAACCGCCCCCCATGACGTAGGTGTTGCGCAGGCAACTTTACACCTCTTGTTGCGAACGTTGGACACGCCTGAAACGGTAACCCCAATTCGACATGAATCCGCCCTCCATCCGAGCCCGTCCTATATAATTGGAGCTGAGGGGCATTCGCCGCGAAGAAGTATCATGTAAGAGCCACATGTTAAATGGGAATCGTCCACGAATCACTGTTCCAAATTGTTCAAACCAATATATGCAGCGCTGGGCGATAGATCATTTTGAGATCGAGCCACCCTGAATCCTTGTGGCGGGTGCAAGGGCTTAAGACGAATGCGCGCGACACTTCGGCGGAAACCCTATTTTGAAAAGGTACCGTCGTCCATCCTTACAACTGATTGGGATGTGTAAATCAAGATCTTCAATGGTGAAGGGGTGTCGGCGTCGGGCATTATGCCTGACACGCCCTACCGACACAGTGGTGGAGCGACTGGCAGGGATTGAAAGGAAAGGGGGTACAGGGGGAGGGGGGATGAGGAGGGAGGAGGGATGAAGGATGGGAGGGGGAGGAGGAGCAGGGTTTGATGAGGGGGAGGAGGAGGGATAGAGGAGGAGGAGGAGGAGGAGGAGGAGGAGGAGGAGGAGGAGGAGGAGGAGGAAAAGGAGGGATGATGATGATGACGATGATGAGGCGGAGGAGGAGGAGGACGAGGAGGAGGAGGGGGAGGAGGGGGGGGAGGGTAAGGGGACGAGGATGAGGAGGACGACGAATAGAGAAGCCGAGGAAGGCGGGGGGAGGGAGAAGGGAGAGGGAGGGAGGAGGGGAGGAGAAAGACGGCAGAAGGAGGGAGAACGAGCGCGACGACTGGGGAGGAGGATCGAGTGGGGCCGCCGGGACCCGCCTTGATCTGCGAGGTCTGGGCCACCGTCTTCTGGAAGTGCTCGGCCTCAGCCCGGCGGACAGGCGGCCGCTGGCGCGGCCCTCGCGGCGTGGTGTCACTCTGCCTTCCGCTTGCTGGGCTCTGGTCTGGTGGAGGACAGTGCTCGGCACCGGCTGCAACTGGCATCCTGCCGCCCTACCTGTCAGGGCAGCCGCTCGGGCTTCGCGGCTGCAGAGCGC